GTGGTCTGAAAAAACCGACAAAACTTTCGTGACAACCTGATACGTGCTGAGAACGCGCAAAATCACTTTGAAAAAAGGCTGGAAAAAATCCTTTTTGATAGGTGTACCACGCTCAACCAAAAAAGGAAAGTTTGTCGAAATTCTACAGTTTTGAAAGTTTCTTTGAGTGTACGACTAAAACGAAAACTCTGTCTTTCTGCTTTGCAAAAAATAATTTAAAGTTGAAAAATTTGAGCGAAATTTTGGGAGATTCTATTGGTACTGAAACGGTCAACATGTTGCTTTCTCCACCAAACAGTTACCGACGGATGACAATACGATATGACATGACATCAGACATTCTACAGTTAAGGTTGACCTTGTCTGGCTCGATCCAGAAATTGGAAACATCACATCGTAAAAACCGCACCCTACAAAATACTCAAGCATAGGTGGTAAATTAGGAGAAGGCAGATATTCTGAGACAGGAACCCAAAAGGCCCAAAAAAGATGTCACAATATAGTATTCAAACAAATTCAAATTTGCGCCTCCAACGACCGTTTTTATGGCATCGTCATAAGTCTACCCAGTATTCGTAAAACAAGCGATTTGAAATGTGCATCATCTCATGAGAAGTACAAGTGAAAAACAGAAGTAATCTATAGGTGACCTTTGCAATGTGTAAAACGAAGTTGAAGAAATGCTGACGTGTGACGTCTAGACCATTAAAATAATGATAACAGATAAGACAGCAAGTACCCCACGATTCATAGGTTCGAAAACCGCTCATTTATTATTGGCACATTATTCACCACATAACCATAAATTCTTTTTGTCTCTTCGTATGAGAGAAGAAAAAAGTGATGACGTTTTGTACACTTTTGCAACGACTCTTTGCCATCAATATTTCTGCTTTTCTGCCGTGTTGAGTAAGGCTACCTATAACTGACTAATCTATTAGCAAGATACCCAACAGCAATTCTCAAAAAAATTTTTATGACAGCATACCGGATTTCTTCTGCATTTTTGTTAGCTCAAACGATTATGCACCTACACCCTATCAAAGGCAGTAAAAGAGCTCATAACTGGAAGTTGCAAGCAGTCCTGGGAACTGAAAATGGCCCTTTTCAAAAATGCAAATATAGCTATAAGGCATTTAAAAAATCGCGACGATGGGGCGATCGCGCGCTACACGCACATCACTTCCGGAGACCGTATTTTCTTGACTTTCATCTCCAGTCGAATGACTTTTTGCTTACGTATTAGGCTGAACGGTAAAAAGTGGGGCAGCTCGATTTTTATTACATTTTGAGGTTTTTTGTTCTCAACAACAAAAAGCAGGCTGCAACTCAAACGTCGCTTACATAACCGTCCGCCCATTATTCTGGCAACGCGTTATCGCTCCTTTCTCATAACCGTGCGCGTGGCGCCGTGAAGAACTCAGACAGGGTTTTTAGAACACCTCTCAATCTTCCGCTGCTATACCGTAAAGTCGTGAAGCAATTGACGTACCATTCGAAAGAGCTCTTCATGCTCTTTGAAACGATATATAAATGCATGAGATTATTCTTCAATTTCAGAAAAAAAGCGAAAAAACCTGAAAATAGCTAATTTTGGCGCAATAAAAAACCAAAAAATCACGTTTTGGCCTATATCTTCCGAAGATAGATAAAATGTGAGGTAAGCTGCATATGGATGGATAGAGCGTAAAAAGCTCTATCAGATGGTACCTAGAAAACACGCGTTCATCTGCAAAAAATTGAATAACGCTTATCTTCGTTCTCGAAGCTGCTAATGGCCATATCTCCTGACTTTGGAAGTTGAGGCCACCAAGCCGTCGTGGGTTCAGTGACTGTCCCACCACCCACTCCAGCAGTGGTAATTTGGGTGATCTCCCATATTTCAGTGCGCAGATGCTGCTCAAACTTCATAATTTATCGATGACTAACTTTGCATTTCAACAAGTATAATTATCAATTATGTAAATGACTCACGCTTTGCGTCATTTCATTAACAAGTTCATGAATGAGTTTCAACGCGTTTTGGTTGATTTACTACAGGAATTCGTCAAAGAACATGTTTGAGCTCGTTAAACCCCGCTGGCTTGAATATGTTCTCTCAAAAATTCATGATAGTATATCATTTAGTAATTTACCAAAACGGGTTAGAACTCAATCAGGAACTTGCTGATCAAACTTACGTAGAGGGCCGGGCATACTTCACGCGATTTCAGTCGCGACGCGATTTGGCAATTCGCCAGAAGTCTTCAGATCCAATACTAGCATTCTGCACATGCATAGTGTATATAAATTACGTGGATTGATAAAATGTCCTATTTTCCCTACGTTAAGAAACCCCTTACAGTGAATTATGGACAGTTGGAATATTGCCAAAGCGCGTCGCGACTGAAATCGCGTGAAGTATGTCCGGCCCTTAAAGGCGTGCTCGCCTCTCTTATTGTTAGTCAGAGAATGAATGATACATTGACAAAAGGACTATTCTAAGTGGCGCGTAGTTATGAAAATCAAGAAAGTTCTTGCTTAAAGTAAGTGTGCCGAATTACTAGCGTTGTAATTGATCCACCAGTGTGTCAGTTAGTGCCGCATAAGTTCCGCTTAGTAAGTTCAGTGCACTCAACGTATAACAAACAATCTGGTAAATTTGAGGCCACAAATTCTCGTCAAAAAATGCTTCAACCCTTCTGCCGAAGCCGGAACTCAAAACTCGTATCAAATGAGCAGGGTTCAGTACCTTTGAAGGTACCGTCACCCAGATTCTTAATTTTCATGTTTTGTTCCTTCCTGGGCCTCATGTTCCTGATTCCGAATATGAAATCGGGAATCAGCGGAAGCCCTGATAATCCCCGTTTCAGAGAACATGCAGGCTGGGTCTCCGGAGCGATTGGATGGGCGCGCACGAATGGGCGGACTTTATTGGAGGAGGGCGGTGCCACTTGGAATTCTCATGCCTCTTTGCTATTCCGAAGCGATTCTCGCTTCCGAAGTGACATGTTGCATCCCTACTTGGGCACTGGCTTGACAGGGGTCCCACTATCCTAAGCTGCCAGAAGCTCAAAACCCCTAACTTAGGGTGGACGGTGCCTTTAATGGGTCTCACGGCATTACATGGAATCTGAGTTTGACTGGATAAAGCCGTTGTAGCTACAATTTTTTTCTGATTGAGCAAACATTTGCGTTGCCTAGAACGCTCTAATGAAAAGAGGACATATTGTATTTCTTCGTCTCGATTCTTCACATTTGCTGGAGTTTTGGTACAAAGTATCAAGTAGAAAAACTTCTTGCATTCAAGAGGAGTACGGTAACAATAAAATTGCCTGTTTGATGTTGCTACCGTACCTTTTTGCTTAGATCTGGACCAGAAATGCCAAGAAAAGCAAAGATATGAGTCTCTCTAGCTGACCATGATTGAGGCGATTGTGCAGAAGCGCTTACAAAGGAATGGTGGTCGAGGTGACTACTTTTAACAAAAGAAACTGTACGCCTACGGAACATGCAGTACAGAACTCTGTGCGAATCCACATTTTATCGATTTGCTCAACCCTTCTTTGGACGAAGTTTCAAACACCATGCTTGAGGAACCGTGTATGCGTAATGGAAATATAGACATAAAGCCTCCCCCCCCCCCCCTTCCGCAAAGCTACGAAATTGTGCAAGTGACTGTTTTACTGGTTAGGGGCCACAAAAAATTGTGGCGTACATCTCAAAAGGGAGTGCGTAGCCAACGCCATGCCCCTTCGTTGGAAAAAATTTTTGTTTCCACCCAAAAAATGTGTCGAACCGCCAGTGAGACATATCTATAGGGCATGCGAAAAATCATGACGATGGCGCGATCGCGCGCAACACGCACGCGTCTTCCGACAGCCACATTTTCTTGGTTTTCAGCGCTGCCTTGTATGGTTTTTCTGCTCGCATACGATAGTATGTGCACGCGAAGTGACTGAGTTGAGCTTTGTGATGTCCTTTCGTATGTGTTTTATGCTCCTGTGGGCGCAAAGACCGCAGTCGAATCCGTCGTCACGATTTTGAAAATGACCTATACATTAAAAGGTCCATGTTTAGCCTAATGTTGGGGCAAAACTCGCACTAGATTGCTTCAAAAGCGCAATGCCCAGTGTGATATGATATTTTTGAGAGCACTATTTTTTTTACTTAGTCCCTCTCTTTGCGGAAAGAATAATGTTATCCGCCGAAGACTAGGCGAGCAGCTGGTCGCAATTTCGATTTGCTGAGGGCCGTCGACGACTGAGGGTTGCAGTGGCCGTCACACGCGCAAATGCACCTCGACGCAGGCGGCGAAACCTGTATACTCGTCATTGTCGTCGTCATAATACGTCGATATATACATATTTGCACTCTTTGCATCTGTGCGTATCTCTTTTAGAATCCGAACATACGATCTGAAACTTTCTGTCTGCAGCAAACTTCTTCAATAGGGCCATACTTCTCCAGCCGCGAGCATTGGCGATATGGATTAGTAGCGCTGTCTTGTGGAAAAGGGTAAGATGACTCAAAACATGATGGAGGTCATGAGTATTGTTGGATGACGTCATGTTTTTCAAAGTGCAGGAAGAAGCACGTGAGGGGTGTGCAAGTGTTTTTTCAACATGTTCCATTTCTATCATTTTTTTAATGTCCCTCTTCTTTGAAAGGAAAAGTGGGGCTTTGTTTTTATGTCTCAGATAGTTCTTGGGATGTTTAGGGATTGCACAACAACATCTGAAATTCGCAATATTTTTCTGTTTCCTGGAGGTAGTGCGTTGTGGCCGTTGATTGATGGATATAAGATAAACGGTAGAGGGAACTTTTCATCTGTTTTTGAGCAGACTGTTGGGAGATATACACTAGTTCAATCATGGCAGAGTAGTGCTATGTGAGTCGAGGACTCTTGTGATGTTTTCCGAACAGCACCGACAATACCCATGTTTGACTATGTCGCGATCGCAACTTGTACAACTCGAATTCACTGGTATTCGAACGAAATCGATTATTGAAATTGAGTCACCTGAGTCGCACTCAAGCGAAGCAGACCCGGCTCTCTATCACATACGCCTCCATGCATGGACGACGGGGCCTCTGGGTAATCAATGGTGCTCAAAAAAAGAAAACTGAAGAGGTCAGCTAGATTTTCTCGACTCACTTTTGGCAGCCTAAGCCATGCTTCAGAAAACTAATACATTGACATTCCCACATGTTGCAACGTTGTTAATGCTTGGGTTTTTATTTTCGATTTCGGTTTTGCTTGAGTTACTCTCATAATTTGTTATCATTGAACCCGAAAAAAATATTTACATGATTTCCATTTTAGGGATTTTCAGACCACCCACATGTCATCCTCATCGGGAGGGATTGTCCCCGGCGAAGTGAATCCTCCAAATCCACTTCACAACACCAGCAAGTACAAGGTTTATGTGCAAGCCGTAGACAGAGCACTGAAGACGTTCGAGAACCCGAATGAATGGGCGGACTTGATCTCAGCTCTCGCTAAGTTGACCAAGGTAAATTCATATTATTTTCCAAATGTGGTATCTTGCTTTGATCTTACGCAAATCGGTTCACATAATCATTTTTTTGTACATTTGTAGACTTTACTTGCCGTTAAAGAGCATCACACAGTCTTGACCGAACTCCAATAGAGAGTTAGTCGTAGTTGAAAATCATTATTTTTTTGTTGGATCATTTTGTTTCGCTATGTGCACTGTGCATCTCAGTGCGCGTATTTCAGCTTACGTTTCTCACTTCAGCTAAAGATTATATCTGAGCATCTTTGATGCTATCATTTCTCATTTTTACGCTGCATTCATAAAAATGGCGCCGGCATTTGTGGTGTGCCTCGAGTTTCTATGAATTTACATAAGCGCATTTTGTGTGCAAAACATTTTTTCGTTTGTTCGCATTGCAATCAATAGCGTAGTACATTTGTTCAAAGTACGTGCTTTCCGTTCAAGTTACGACCGTCAAAAGCATTTGCTATTGATGAAACTTTATTGCAAAAGAAAAATCAAAACCCGAAATGGTGGTACAGGACTTTCCAATTTATTTCAAAACCTATAAAGCCATCGTCAAGATAAAATCAGGGCTCGGCACGAGGTGGCTAGATGAAAATGCAAAAAACGAAGTCCCCCTCGACTTTTGGGTATTTTTACGAAGTTCCCTTTGACCCTACACCATATTCCCAAAAAATTCTCCAAAAAACGAAACGTCGACTAAAAAAAAGAAACGCCGCCAATTTCGTTTGTCTTCGTTCAAACGAAACCCCCTTTGCTTTTTGTCCCAAAAACGATATCCAGCTTGCTTGTAAGCCACCTGCGCCGAGCCCTGGATCAAATGCGAAGCTTCGCCATCGCTTGAGAAAAGCTAAGTAATCAACTCAAACAGCATTGTTTTGGGCTCCATTCTGCTATTTTTGTTCGATGCTTGTGATCTAAAGATTATCTGAATTGCTGACTGTGGTACATGCAACCACGATAAGACCGTTGTGCAACTTAGTGCTTATCGCTCTCGCTGAGTTGCTGCGATGTATGGTACCTGGAGCCGCCAGATCTGAGTACAAATAAAATCAAATACCTGACGGTTGAAACTATATCAGGTCGAGCTAGTGAGAGAGATTTTGTAGTCTGTACTTGAGAACAATGCACTTGGCTTGATATCACTTTGATTCTCTAGGTGTTTCAATCTAATGCAAAATTTGGAGACATTCCCAAGCCAGTTACTGTCGCCAAACGTCTGTCGCAATGCCTCCATCCTGCGCTACCTATGGGTAAAGCTGGAAATCTCAATCACATTTGCTTACAGCATCTTTGTTACAGGAGTACACTTGAAAGCGCTGGAGACTTATCGGCAAATTTTCGATATACTTGGTCCCCAAGCATTGCCGAAGCTGTTGTATCTATTTGCCGTTGGTTTGTTTCCTCTCATGGATCACTGTGGTATAAAAGTGGGTTTGAATCTTTTGCTTGTTCGCAATAATGTTGCTCTGCTGCAGGTGAAAACGGAGCTATTCAACATTTTTGAACAGTATCTGTTACCGCTGGGTCAAAATCTGCGGCCCGCTTTGCCAGGCTTTTTAGCTGGCGTTTTATTAGGATTAGAAGAGGGAACTGAGTTCTACGAAAGGTGCATACAACAATTTACTTGCTACGCAAATCATTTCTCTTGCAACGAATGCTTGTCTCTAGATCTTTATCCGTACTGGATCGTGTATGTGAAGGAGTTGGAGAACGAGACTTCTTCGCATGTCTTTGGCAGGCAGTGCTTGGATCGCCTTCGGTTCGACTACCTGCAATGCTATATGTCAATGCTAAATTTGACAAATCCCGTACATTTGATGATCAGATTGCAATTGTTGGAGATCACGTTGATCACATGGTAAGTCTTTTTTTACAGTGAATTGCTGATGCCCATTCGATCGCTCACTTAGCTATCCATGTATCCCATATCTGTTGCAAAGTAGATGGACAACTCAGCGCTTTTTTTAATGTATCATTTGAGTCACATTGTTGGATAAGCTATAGAGGGGCAGTCTGCAACAATGCACTTTTAAGTTGGATTGACATCCATTGTCTCACAAGAACTGATCACCTTGTAAATAACCTGGAAATTTCGCTGTCTTGGTAGCCATTTTTCTTCGTTGAAATTGTTGAGCTAGCCGTTTTCTTCAGCCTACGGTTCAGGTTGCTGCTCTTTGTGCGGTTGCCAATGATTCTGGATCTCCTTTGGTGCAACGCAATTTGCTAGATTTTTTGTGTGCAGCTTTTCCCTTGGATAGTGGCAATCTTACCAATGAAGACTTTGTACAGGTACATTTTGTACTAACCTCGAACTCGATTACCATGAGATTTACCTACGGCATCAGTTAAAATCATGTTGCAGTTGTTGATGAGATGTATGTTTGTTGTACTTCGACGAGATATGTCTCTAAATCGCCGCCTATATACTTGGCTTATGAACCCTGCAGGTACTTGAATGATTGTGCTCAAACAGGAAATTGGTAGTGAAGACATTATCGTTTTAAATTTCGCAGGAGGCAGTATAGCCATCAGCAGCATTCCTATCGACGATGAAGGAGTTGAGTCGAAATTCTTCAATGAGCATGCTCTCCCTCTCATAGTAGATGCTATGACTGAATATTTAAAACTTGACGTTGTCGAGATACCTCAAGTGTCAACAAATGCTTGGGCCTATGGCTGGGGCGACAAGAAGGTATTGTACAGATTTGCTGTATTTTTGCATGCTAGATTTTTGGAGCCAACTTTTCTTATGACCCTATGATGATATCGTCTTTTTTCAGGAAGGCGAACAGCATCAGTTTGCTGAAGTTCGAGTATGTCGACTATTGTTGTACTTACAAGACCGAGCAGATATTGGAGTACCGGTTTTGAATAGAGTGTTTCCATTGTTTCTGATACGGGTTGCGGACATATACGAATTATTGACTCAAGGACATAGTGAAGTGGAAGAAGTGAGAACTTTGAATAAGCATCCTTTGAGTCATAACTGCGATTTCTTACATTAAGTCAACGTTCAATATAAACTGACCTTACAGGTCACTCAAGAGATTAACCTTGATCGCAACAATATGCGTTTGCCGCTCGACTTGAAGAAAAGTCCTTCCACGTTCCGCATAGGAACAGCGGACTCTATAGTCGAGAAGGAAAAAGACAGGGTAATTTTTGCTAATACCTATCCCTTTTTTCGTCACTTTATTATTGCGTTCATTTACGACTGCTCATCGCTTCGCTTTTCAGGATCGGCGCATCGGAGAAATAACGAAGACGCTAAATCTACTGCTTAATTCGCTCGAACCAGGCTTTCTGTTTGACTTTTTGAGCAAATGGTTTGCAAGCCTCATTGAAATGGAGAAGCCATCTTCAGAGAAAATTGCACAGTTTGCAAAAGTGAGCTAATCGTTCTTGTTTTCAGACAAAGCTTGCAGACTTACCAAATGGGCCCTTCTTGTTATGTTGTCAATTTAAGGTCGTCGATTTTTGTTTGAAGACTTGCAATCTTGATGGGGATCCAGATTTGCGCGCTAAATTTCTGCCGCACTTGTTATATTCAATTTTAAATAAATTCCACGACGATGAGAAGCTTGTTTTGATCGAAATAGATGCATTACTGCAGGTGAGCATATGTGCAAATTGAGTGCGATACATCAACATCTAATTTGAGATTACGAGTGTCTGCAGCAATTTACTGGAGGAAATATCGCAAAGCAGTAGTGTGGAAGCAAAAAGTATGTGGTTTTTTGGAGTCTCCAGCTTCATAGTTTTCTGTTTTCAGTGCCCAATGGAGATGTTTCGGAAACATCCTCGAATTCTAGTCCTAGGAAGGTTGTCAACATCAACACTGTAGTGTCTGACGCTATCGAGAAAGGTTCGAACAGTCACTTTCGAGAGCTTGCTATGATAATTGTGTTACTTCTTTGAATTCATTAGTGAAATTATAGAGCAAGAGCTTATGGAGTCTTGTGTGAACGAATGTCTTCTGCTGCTGGCTAGCGTTTGCCGTGTGTACGTTGCTAGACGAACATCCATGCGATTTCCACTCCTCATTGATGTGTGCAAGCTTACATCGCAGTTCCTCGACTATCCCCTCTACTGTTTCCTGTTCGATCATCAGGATGATGAGGAAGTACCTGATTGGCTTCTGGATGTGCTGAAGGTATGTGTAACCGAAAATTTGGTCAATCATTTCAAACTTATGAATCATGTTGATTTTCATAGCTCTGTTCGTTTCAGGTCATTGATGCCGAGACTTGGATACAAGAAATGAGTTCTTCCCAGGTAACGAATTGTTATGATTTGGATTTATACAAGCCTCCATATCGTCGATCTTGTATCGTGCATGTGCTTTAGCAGACAATGGACACAACTGATCTATCTGCGAGGACCGCGGTATTAGACTTGGTTCTTTCCATATATACAAAATGTGCTTCTGTGTTGTCTCAACATGAGGCAATCCGTGGGAGGATGGCGGAGTGTCAAGCTGCTATGATCGAGTAGGTTATTCTTTCATATACGACTCGATTGTTTATGGACAGGGTTGTCTTCAGCATTGGCTTCTTTATAGATCCGAAGGCAATCCAACCACTGTTCTGCTGAAGCCGTTACTTTTTGCGACGCAGTTAAATAAGCTTGAAAGAGATGGAATATTTGAGGTGACTGCTTTGCAATTCAGTTGTGACTTGCTTGAGATGTGGGCATTTGAAAGTTGCTGGTCAGAAAGAGCCTTTTGTGGTTGTCACACATCTCTTTGCTCGTAAGGATGAACACTGTACTTGAAAGTCAACAGTTGATTGACTCAAGTAGCAATTTTTCCTGTGTAGTTTGTTTGAAGAGTTTATCGGCTGATCACATTGATCACACAGCACTTTTGTTTTCATATAGTAACCAAGGGAGCTTTTGTCTTATCTCACGTAGTATAGGCACATTAAAAGAGGTGCCCTTGCTGTTTTACTTGTTCACCAATTTTTTCAAATGCTGCAGCTTTGCTGGGTGAATTCTTTTACTAACATTATTGTTTTTTTTTCTTACCCTTCATTTTTGCAAAAGCGTTTGGATGTTGTCACTGGAAACATTATTTATCTTAATCATTGCATTGAAACGAAAATCTTTTATGTCTTTGATGTGATTAACATATATAGTTTGTAATAGGCAGGTGTTTGCTATGCATCACACCCGATATTTTGGCATATAAATCTTATTTAGAACTGCGGATACGCTGTATGGCATGGACTTGGTCTGCCTTGGTGTACATATGAACATGCAAGAATGTCACGTTTGATGGCCATTTTACATTCGAGGAAGCCTAACGAGCCGAGCAGCGATATGGAAAACATCATCGTTTCAGCTCTTACTAGCAATGATCCGGTATGTTTGTACATTACTAGTTTAGTAGTATTTTTACGTACCCATTATTTCAACCAGACTGACCGTTTTTTTCTGTTTCTTTTCTGAAAACATTAGACGTGTTGCTGGTTTTTCATTATTCATTCGACATCAATAAAACATGCCCTGTGATATGATTTCAAAACTGTTTTTCTCAAGTGCTTTAAAAAATTGAGAACTAAATTTTGAGCTTCCATAGAAAAAAAAAAGATTTTTACGTACCCATTATTTCAACCAAACTGGCTGCTGAAAGGCGGGGCTTCATGAACTAGCAGGTGACTGCTCGCGTCCGCGACGCAGTTCGCGCCTCCCTTGCGAGCTGCTCTTTGGTCATTTTGTAGCCTTAGTTAGGTCACGGAGTTTTGCCTTCCAGCCGCAGATCTGGTTGAAGCAAAGGGTGACTCAAAATTTCATAGTGGTGCTAATCTGCAGACGCAGTGCTAATGGGTATTTTTACCTTCGTTGAAAACTAATGTTGCTTGGTTACTGCAACGAACGGATATTATGTTAGTAAATTGCAAGGAACCCTCTTACAGATGATAAGTTCGGAAGCTGCTCAGACATTTCATCGGATGTGGATGCTGACACGCACTGGTGATGATCAACCATCTCTGTGTACAAAACCGTTCAATCGGTTGGTTTTTTTTCTTCTACTAGAAATCATCCAGTTTATGTTTAACTGTCCTTTCTAAATTTTTGATTTTAGAGCCGTCATGCTTCTATTAGGTGTCTTGGCGGATGAGTCCGTATCGCGAGCGCGTTCTGAATTGAAGAGTAGCGCAGCTGCGTGGTTCATCGACTGTGCAAAGCACAATGATCTACCAAGAATTGTACAGGTATGAGTGTACTTTTATTAGATATATTTTGCTCATTTTATTTCTTCGTAGATGTTATCTACTATGTTGATGAATCCCGTCACTGCTCGAATTTCTATTCAGTACATCTACCAAGAATCGAGGTAATCAAGAAACTAGCACTGTATTGAGGTCCACAAATTTGTACGTGTTTCAAGATTGTCTCATGATCAGTTCCAATCGTTGCCGAACGACGTTTCCGTTGTGACACTTGTCACTTCAGATGGTAAACAACGCCTATATCATTTTGATGGACCGGTCACTGAAGGGTAAGCAAATATTTTTCGCGTTTTTCCGCGCACTGTGATAGGTATTGTGTGTGCATTTGTTCATGGGGGAGATTTGTTGAGTGATGTTGATTCAATATTACGACTACCGTCTTCGTAAAGATAGATCATTGTTTCTCCATAGCAAGTAAAATTCAAGGCCATGGCAACACGAACTGAAAAGCCGATTGCTGCTCTCCTCCGAGACAGGTGCGGAAGCTGAAACGGGTGTGTCCAACTGTAACGCTGGCGCTGGAGACTTCCCAAATTTTGATGAGGACACCGTATGTTATCCTTATGTGATACATGATGTCTATTATATGGCTTTCAAGGATTCTCTCGACACATTATCGATCTCTTTGGACGGAGTTGACAGTGTTGTCTTTGAGACTATGCAGTATTTGATTGATTGTGTGGTGGAAGAAGAAGAAAGCGAGTTAGATAACCAACAGCACCTAGAATCTGCTCTCGCTGTCGCACCACCTGAGGGAGGACGTGTGATCTTTAGGTAAGTTTCTGTGTGACGCTTGATCTCAAATGCTCAGGCTAGCGTCATGTCTATGTTAGTAAGAAACCTGTAGCGAATTCATCTTCTTCGCATCCTAGAGCTGACGATGAGTCTGGAGCTGAAAGCTCAACGGCTACCACAACTCCAAGACCTCGGAATGAAAGTGGAGAACGCCCCCTGCCAGTCGGCGATAGCGTAGCAAGGTAGGTTAGGTTCATAATAACACTTGATCAAGCTACTTTCTTCACAGTTTTTGCATTTGGTATGTTTTTGACATTTAGGTTCAAGAAGGGGCATCGGCGACAGGATTCACTGCAAGAGAGCATTTTCAGTATGACAGAAAAGGAATTGAAGTCTGTTCAAAAATTTTTGATCTACTTTTCTTAGCGAATTCATCTTCTGCAGAACATTCGACGCGACCGAGTTGCTGCGCCCATCAATTGAATCTTCTTCTGAAGGAGTGAGCTTGTTCCATGAGTTGCATGTGCATATGCTTTTGTACGGAGAAAGCGGACGAGTCGTGGATCTCGGTAGAGCAGAAACAGCCTTCAGGATTTTGACAGCATTGTTATGCCCTCGAGGCTCTCATGTTTCCAATCGCATGCTGCTCGGGTGCGTAACTAAGATACCGACTATCGGTCAGCATAAATTGCGTTTGTAGATGTCTTGTATCATCGGGTACCGCGGCTCTTAATGGTGATAGCAATGGTTTAACTACACCGTTATCGGGATCTCTTGTGGATCTCATGGCTAAGCATGTTCGAGCTATTCTCGGACAACATTTCTGGGGAGTGACCGGCGAGGAAGATGCGACAAAACACAGACATCTCACACTTTTAGAGCTTCTGATAACTGTAGGTTTATTATCTTTTCTATGTCTTGTTTATTCCAACGCTTCAAATATATGGCATCTTCCTAGATCTCTCTTCATTTTCTGCGATCATTTTTCCTAAACTCGCCGATTTGCCCTGTCACAGAGGCTGATCTAGTCATGGCATGGAAGTGCAAGGTATGCGTTTTGTGTTTATGCATGTTGCTTAATAAAAATCTGAGGTGGTCAAAGGGGATGACTGTGTAATGACATCCCTGATAGTTCTGAGTATCTCTGTTTCTGTATCTCGTAAGCTAAGAATGGAGGTCTCATGTTATATTTTTGATCTTGATGTATAGGAAAAGATTTGTCATTCTTTTCGACAAAAACTTTCAAAGGAGTGGCTTTTCTATAGAGGGCGTATCTCCAATTTCCAAGCAATCTGTTGATTTCTCTTCTCAAATTGTGCACTCGCCGTTGAGACAGAATAAGCATTTTCTGTGTAAGAGATCTAGGGGCGTTGGGGTGGGGCCTGCGAAGTTGGTATAATGTGCATTGAGAGTAATAGTGACCTTAAGATGCAGGCTTTTGTGGATAGGTTTTTTTTTTTTCAAGAAGAATATCCACTAGTTTCAGATTGCCTCCCTTGACTTCCTCACCGAGTTGCTTAGCGAGCTATGTGGCATGGTTTGCGACCAACAGTCGCGGCCGTTCGTGGTGTTTGTGCAGTCCGTTTTGTCGCGGTCAAAGTTGCAGAAATGCCTACTGCATTTGCTGTTGACGGCCGTTCACGATCCTCGAGCTAGTGCGGAACCTGGACAAATGTGAGATTTATAATCGAGGATTTTGCATTTTTCAAGTATCCTTCATTCATGACGATTTATAAATCTATAATGCTAAAACAATTCATTTTGTCCCTTCAATCAGTCTTATTTATGACATCCAGATTACCCTTGTCTGTGTCGATATTCGAGTTTAATGAGGGTGGATCGCCCACATCCAAAAGACGTCTGGCTGGCCTACTGTCCGCGTACAATCGCTCCTTGTTGAGTGTGACTGCTCAGGCAATCAGGCTGGAGAGTGAGATCAAAAACGGATATTCAGCTTTTGGAGACATGGTCAGATTTATCTGCACGTATCCAACGCTGCACTGCCGAACGCCTTGTTTAGAACACTTCCGGTGCGATGTTGAATCGACTTGCTGTAGCTCAACAAATTTACAACACTCCTGCTCATCGTGGCACTCTGAGGGAATCGACACCGTCTCTAGTGGAACTGCGTGCTTTCTTATTGATAGTACTTAATGCTCTTAAGAAAAAACCCGAGCAACATGAAATGTGGTTCCAATTTGTAATCCAAATTTTGCCCTGGATGGAAAGGTTTGTAGCTTTATCAAACCTAGGCTGTACAAGTTCCGAGCGAGTTTTTTTTTTCAGATCTCTGGCAACTGTGATGGTGCGTGTTGTGGAGCAACTGTGTAAAAACATAGAGACTGCTATGCATGTCTCTTACCTGAACGTGGGGAAGGCTATGGACAGTTTCAGCTCGAGGGAAGATGTGCAAGCGTATCCTGCTTGTTTTATTACGATGGTTAGTCACTTTGTATCTGCTGCGTTCCTCAACTTTTATCTACTTCCAGACATTAGAGACTATTACCACCTTAGTTCACTTTTGTTTGATTGATGCACCTACTGCTGCTTCTTCTGCTCCAGCGACCACACCACCTCCAGTAACACCAGCAGCTGGCGGAGGCAGTGTAGTTGGACAGGTTGGTACTCCTAGGTTTGTGTTGGGAGATTATCAGGCTTTTGTAGGCGATGGCCGTGATACCTGGCACCAAAGGCGCGACTGAACTTTTTTCTAATCTTGTGAAAGTATTCAGCTTCAGCGATTCAACATCGGTAAGATTTGATGCTTCTATCGGGATGTCCAATCAATCATCATATTCCGTTGTTTGTAAGACGGCGATTTTTGGTCTACGAGCCGTTCAAACATTATCGGATTACTTCTGCTTACTTTAGATCTAAATGTGATATTACTTGTCAATTACCGACTTAAAGCCAGTATTTTAGGGAACTGGTGTGAATATGTCTAAATTGGAAGGCTCGCGAGGAAGCGTTGCATTGCGACAAGCTCGAAATGATATGCTGACCTCACTACCACACGCTCTTGCCACTATCTGTGATCTATGGACCGTGATAAGAAGTAAAGAGGAACCACATCTACCACTCGGCTCACCACAAGTTCGTATCTACTATTTGTTTTGAAAATTCGTATGGACGAGTTTTGTTACAGCACCTTCGACAACTAGTCCTTGACCTTCTATCACCGATTGCTCAGCATCACCAACAAGCTTTTCTCACGGCTCTTTCTTTGGTGTGGTTGACTCGTTCTGGGACGGGCATAACGGCTTCCAGAAAGTCAGATCCTGATCATGTAGGTTCAAAGGACGTTTTATCTGTAATTGAGGTCAGTGCGGAGTGGTCTTGATTTTCCATGACTCTGAACTTTTGAAATGGGGCGTGGTCTACATGACACGTTCAAAAATGTTTTTTTTACAGAACATTTCAGTGTTTTAACAACAAGATCACTTCGTTATTCACAAAAAACAAATTACCTAAACAATGACTTTTTTGCATTGGTTACGTCGGCGTTCAAAAGTTGCAACATGCGTTTTACAGCCCAACTTCCAATACACATCTTCTCAGCATGATATTGCGAATCTGCTTTTGAGCTTGAAGGTGATCTCATTTGAAGAGCTTGTAACTGCTGTCAATGAAACTTTGAAAGAGGCAGGTGTGAAAGCTTCCAAAGTTGGAGTAGCAGACAAAGTAGGTGTTGATGTCAGGTATAAAGAAAGCCAATCTGATCATCTTGTTAAGGCTGCGTTCCCGACAGAAGCACCCCTTCTTGAGTTGCTGCATGGTTGTGTGAAGGCTCTTCCCACAGCTCAATTACAGTCTTGTTGGCTACCTTTTCAATCTCTGTTTGCGGATGCACCGTTGGCCAGCCTTCCTCCACGCGCAGTCTTTTTACTGTTTATGTATGCTCTTCGGACTTTTTTGATTATTTGATACTGATCGCCTGTCACAGAATTTTGTGCGACTATGTGCGATGCGCTGGCGCTTCGTACATTGTCGAGGACAAGACGATGTCTCGCGCTGTTCAAGATGCAGTGCAACGACTCACTGAAGCTGTCAATGCTGTTGTCGGTTGGCAGTTGGAAACAACCACATGGTTGAAGAGGACTCTCGTAGTCAAACACGACCAAAGTATGTAAAGGCTTCTGTTTATCACAGTTTTTGTTGTTTTAAAGCAATGATAGAACAAAGCTGGGCAACTTAGGTACTCGTTCTCAAGATGCTAGCCCATCAATCGAACTGAATACGCCTCTCAATACACCGCTGCCTTCTTTAAATCAATCGGAACAGAATTCTATGCGTGGATCTACATTGTCTTTGATGACACGGTATTGCTTGCGTTAACTTGTCACTGTCTTTGATGATCACTTTGTTCAATCTCTTCACAGACGTTAGAATATCATATAACATTCACTGCTCTACAGACCTTCTTCTCTGGATGCTGGTACTAGTGCGGGCTCATTGGTTGAGAAAAAGAGCGGTTCTAATCTCCGTAGCTCTGTGAAGGACACAAATAACAATAAGCGTGATCCATCTCACAGCACACAAGCCCTGTTTCTTTTGGCAGAGGTAGAATCAGATTTGGAGTATAAAACCTTCAGCTGCTTGAGATTGTTTGTTTAGAACTTGGCTGAGTTGGTGGATTCCGTTTGCAAGAGCGATGACAAAGAAAGACTCTTGCCGACACTTCACGCCGTCTGGGGGAACGTCGTTCCTTACTTAAAAGCCAAGAAGTATGTGTTATATCTGTCTTTTATTGCTGTGCATCACAAAAAGACCATTTCAGTGCTCGAAATTCGAGATTTTTCTTGGCTTCATCGCAGTTGTTGGCATCCATGAGCTCGTTTAGTTACATGCGTCCAGTCTGGAAGAAGACTACGCTTGAACTCCTACTTGACTCATGTGAGTAGTTGAGAAAAAGGAAAACTTAGTAATTACCTTCGAAAAGAGTATGATCTGAAGCATTTGAGCTTAACAGCTCTCTTAGATTGTCTTTCACTCTGGTCTCCCAGATCATAAGAATGTATACATCTGTTAATCATAACATTGATTATCGAAGGAATTAGAGCGGTTTCATAGTCTCTGGTGCAACAACATCTTGACCTCATTGGCTTACCTTTTTTGCTTTTCTGAGACACAGTTGCAATCACTTTATCAACTATTCGCTGTGTAGTGAATATGCGTCTCTTTCAGCGTTCTTCAAAATGGATATGCATTCTTTGAAGCAGTGGTTGATAGTGACTGATCACTTGATGACGCATGACAAAACATCGTTCAAGGACTTACTCAGTCAGTGTTGGAGCTCTCAACACTCTTCTTTTTCTTCCAAATGCTGCCCATCTTCTCCATTTCAGAGAGTATTGCATATACGCCAAATGCCTCCTTCAGTATCATGACGTCGAAAGAACAGGAATACGAAGCTAGAGCGCAAGCGGTGAAACGACTCGCATTTGTCGTACTTGGTTCGGAGCTCGATCAGTACCAAGCGCAAATGAATGATATCCAAGGTTAGTTATAGCATTATGAAAGAACTTATCTTCTATTTTACTGAAGCTTGTGATTGCTGCCCTTTGCTTTCTGATTTTCACTTAAATAGAATTCTATAATTCTTTGCGTTGCTTTGGAACACATGTTTTCAATCCACTGTTCTGTTTGCAGAGCGACTCTCGGAAAATCTGCGAGTATCACAGTCACCGTCCATTCGATCTGCAGTGTTTCTCTGTATTCGGGTATTGCTTTTGCGGTTAAGACCACCGAGCCTAATTGGCATATGGCCTATCATGGTGACAGAACTGGTAAGTCCTTTCTTCCTAAATTTTAGTTCCCTCGTCATTTCAAATTTCTTTTTATAATGCAGAAAACTTGCTAGGTCCACGTTCTTCTCCAAATGGAGCAGCAGTTGTGTGCTGAGGGTAACGGAATAGAAGATCTCGGTTGCGCTAGAGATGATGCTTGGATGCAACTATATCTCGCCGCCTGTAAACTGTTAGAAACTTTGTGTACCTTGCCTGCGGGGTATCTAGCTCAGTTCCAAATGTACGTGTGGTGCTTCCGTGCTCATCACTAATTTATTCTTCATCTGATTGCAAGTTCAGGTGTCATTGGGCTTTCGTCAACTCTGTTTCTACCAGTAAGGCTGACTTATTTCTTCCATTTGCTGGAAGGCTGAATAAATTACTTCGTAATAAGGTACGTTTCTTTCACACTATTCAACATACATATCAGTGTTCCTTTTTCTTTTTCCTTTTCCATTCTTTGTCATTTTCAAGTTCGGGAAGTTGACTGCAGAAGAATTGTCAAGTTTGTCACCATCATTGTGCGGAATGAAAATGTTGACGAGCTTCGAAGAACTTCGGCCATTCTTCTATGCCCTTGCAACACAGAACAAGGCTTTGCCGGGAACCCAGGTATTGGTTCTACCATCGCTCGTAGAAGAGCAATTTCACCTATAGTGTAATTTGAAATGAACCTCCTTCCATTCACAGTAAAATTTCTTCACTTGATTTTTTTCTAGTAAGTGGCGTTCTTCATGACCCATACATGTTGAATGTTTAGGGTGCCGGGACCGAGTTTTCCTTCCTTACGGGTTCACTTTCGTATAAGAACGCCGTGCAACGGCTGGAACACGCTCTCTGCGTGGACTTTGCGGAGCACTGGCAGCTGTAACTGCCGATATACTTTCCAGTAATCATGAATGCTGTGATGCTTTCTAGTTTTTTATTGCCCGAATAGTACATTCCTCTGAAATAGCTCTAGGTCACAGTGTCAGAGCGTTGCAAACAAAGCTAGTCGCTTAACATATATTTTCTTCTTGTATCAAACGGACATCGGTGATCATTGGGCATATAATTCAACCATTATCATTTTCCTGTTATTGGTATCTCAGTTGTGATCAATAGGTAGCGTGTATCATACTTGTAATATTACTCATAGAGCTTCCCGCATCAACATTCTTTCAATCTTAATCCACGCACTGTAATACATGCCTAAGTTTTCATCTATCGTGTCACTCCCACTGTTCATTGTTCACTCGTCTGTATGTATAATTTTCTCTACTCGTGTACTTGTTTTTTTTTCTATTACGGGATGTGTAGATGACATGCTGTGAGCAGATGCTTACTAGCTCTTGACTGGATCTGTAATTATTTAAGAGCCAAAAACTCTTAGCGTTTAGTTTTGACAAAAGGTTTTGCATGCAGTGATTACTTACAACGCGAACAATGTGATATTTTTTATTTGCGTTGCATAAATACTTTCTAAGCTAGTTCTGTTAAAGTGATGGAAATTCTTTGCATTACGGTAGAATTGACGGTGTTTTTGGCAAGGTGTCTGATTCAAAATTTTGCGGTTGTTACTGGAGAAAAGCGAAGCTTGCAAGGTTAGTGAGGTAGGCGAAAATTTTTTCAGAGTATCGTAATACGTGCTTGCACGTGGTCAAATACCCCGGATGAGGTTAGCTACAGGGTTGGTCTTTGGAATGCTCTGCCATAAATGGAATCTGTTGGAAGGTTATTGACTTTTTATTTATTTATTTATTTATTTATTCTTACACCCAAGGGTGCGCCAAAACGAAAAAAAAATCCAAAACAAAGTATGATCGGCTTTCAGATTCGTGTGGAGGTGGAGTCTTGCCAACTCACCGCGTGGCGGTTTTTGCTAGCGAGAGATTACGAAAAGCAATGCTATGACGTGGAGGTTTAGCAAGTTTACATGCGTTATCAGGCAAAGTCTGCAATACACCTCCACACGAATCTGGGAGCCGATCATAGCTATAGAATATCTGCCACACAATGGAGCTAGTAATACCTCACCCGACCCCACTATGAAGAGTAGAAATGATAGCGAAACTATAGGCTGTAGCAGCTAGCATCGGTCCCGCGCCAGTATGCCTTGCGACGATGCACCGTCGCCTGAGACTTGCCTTAACGCGTGGCATAGTTCGCACGCGTCACACCGCACCGTCGCAAGCTGCCGCAGGCGCGATGTCGCATAACCGATGCTGGTTGGTACAGAATATAGATAAGCCTGTGATAACTCAGTCCCTGTAGGCCCGTTAGGTGAATGGCAGCGGGGAATGCCACTGTTCATCCGGGTAAATGAACAGACCAGCAGTAAATTTTCGGATGTTAGGTATCTACCAACCTAACAATTTACTACTGGAATCACATGAGAAGATATAATAGAAGGGACCGAAGATGCAGCCTACAGTGAGTAGACTCCAGAAGTTGTTGTTCAAGCAGCGATGGGTTAAGTTGCTCGAAAAAACCAGTTAGCAACAAAAACAAAATTTCAGTCGACATAATATGAGGACTACACAACCACGGTAGTTGACTATGGCAGCCAGAAAGGGATGAGTCACCTGAAAAATAAAAGATAAGCAACTAATAGCTGTTAGCAGGAACGAAGAAAAGGAAAAATCAGGAAGTCAACGTGATGACAACTTGCAACATCCGAAACTAAGGAGCCATCTGCATTGGATAGAAACCTGAATGAACATTGACGAAACAAACAAAATGCATTAACAAAGATAAGGACCAACGTTCAGAACCCTAGTAAGATCAATCTTTTGCAATCTCTTTTTGAACAAGAACCCATTTTTGGCAGATAAGATTTTGACAGGCAAACGATTGAACCACCGTGCGCAGCGGTAAAATAGCGAGTTAAAAAGGATAAGATAGTGCGACTTTTTCAATCTTGGATAATGGAGATTGAATCCTCCTATCCTACAACTAATTGGTCTAAAATCCAGAAATTGCTTGCCCTCAAATCGATCTCTTTCCGTAAAATTCTAAAACAATACTAAATCTGCCATTATCCTTCAATTACTGAGTGGTTTCAAACTCATCATTTTCGGTCTTTCATCGTGAGGTGGCACATCTTTTTTGTTAGTACTTCGAAGTTTACGATAGAAAACCATCCTCGTAAAGATACGCTACACTTTCTCAAGTTTCAGAATTTCCTTTCTGCATGAGGGATTCCATACTTGAGAGCAATACTCAAGATGGGGGAGTACATACGCGTTTTATATAATCTAGTAAGAATAAGCTGATCAGAGGAATGAATATTACGAAAAATTTGTATGAATGGGCGAAATGACATGGGAGCGCGTGACCGTATATTTTATTTCTTGCAAGCATGCACATCCATAGCATCCCAGCGCCCCAACTTAAAGTTGCAAAAAAGATAAAATCGATAAATGTGATCGATAGTTGCTGGACTAGTAGCGTATTCGTACTCACCATGCTCACTTATTATCGGCTCCAAAATTCGTTTGTACAGGGCTCCTAAATTGCAGAGTCGTTTGCACCAGCGGTCGCGCGACCGCGTCGCGCCCGGGCATTTTGCCGGCGCCGGCGCCATCAATCGAGGCGGCGCCATTGATGCCCGGGCGAGACGCGGTCGCGCGACCGCTGGTGCAAACGACTCTGCAATTTGGGAGCCCTGTAGACGGTTTGTGAACTTTCCCTGTTTGGAAGGGAAAATTTGTTAAATCTCCGTGTTATAGCATTGTTTTTCGTACTCTCTCACTATAACCGCCACGCCTTGAGCTGTCATGATGAATCGTGGAGCCGATGACACCTTCTGCGCCAACTTCCAGCCCCCTAGTTTAAGAGTCTGCTAAAAATCAATAAATCGATCGTTCTAAATGAAAAGTAGCCCGTAACACCCAAATTTGGTACGTTTCGGGTCAGGTATGGCATTTTATATTCGGTATATATAATATCACCTATTTTTTGAATAAGAGACTCGAAACCGAAACTTGTATCGTCCATTTGTCGACCGCACGAACTGCGCAAACGTAGTCGACCATGTACGGCGCGGCTGACATGTGTGAGAGTAGGATTTGTACAATTGTGAATTTGCACTGACGCAAATATCTCGCGGCGCGTGCTCCTCAATGATGTCCAAGGCTGCAAGTCAGTAAATACGATGCGCGTGGCGGCCGCGTTGCGCGCACGTCGCGCTCGGAAGAACTTTCTTATGCGAAGTAGCACGGGGGACAAAGTAGGGGATGGGAGTGGAGACAGATGACTTGGTGCCTAATTTGATAAGACTGATAAGTAGTATGACTTGATAAGTAACACTGCGGAAAGGGTGCTGCATCATGAATAGTTGATTCGTTGACCGCAAGGACTGGACATCACCGCTGAGCACGCGCCGCGAGGTAAAACGCTTGCCCCAGTACAAATTCGCCATTGTATATACAAGTCGTGCTTTCGCGACAATGCAGCCGCACCGCGTGTGGTCCGCCACGTTTGAGCAGTACGTGCAGTCAACGAATCGACGATACAAACTATTGACGTCGCTGTTGCACTGCGAAAAATTCGCGCCGATATTTACCTTCTGACCGTCCTCCAATGTCCAGCCCGTGGGTAAATAAATCGACGATACTTGTCCAGGGCCCTGTACAGATCGTCTGGAAGCATGCTGGACTTCGTTTTGGAACAGAGGGGGATGTCGTTTTTGCGGGGTCCGGGGCGGAGACCGGAAAAAATGGTACTACATGCTTTACTAGCAAAGCATGTGGGGGAAAAACTGCACATATCAAGCACAGCCTTTCAAGACAGGACCTTTCAAGACAGACTTTTACGCAATGGACATGCTTATGTGTCTTGCGAAAAGCGCGCGCGATTTGAAAGCAAAGCCAAAATCGACAAATTGCTTGTTTACAGTGTAGAGACAAGCATACGAGACAAAATACCAAATTTAGACTGTAGGCATATTATAATATTCGCGGAAGAATTATGTAAAAAGTTCTGAAAACTTATGTAAAGCAGTACCTTTTCCGAATTTAGTCCGTTTCCAAACGGCCACTAAACGATCTGAGATCGTATGGAACATATATTTTTGTAAGTTCACATAAGTCTCGGAGTTCTATTATGGACGGATTCCCCGGTCAAGAATTCATGCCAGAGCATTGAGATATTTTCATATCGTTGCCTTTTCTTTGTTTTTTGCCTCAATTCCTTCAGAATTCGCTTTGTTAGATATCGCGCTCCAATGACAAGCTTTTGTGCCTGCGTCTCGAGACTTTTATGTTTCCATCTTCTCCTAAGTTGAAGGTTTCTAATAAGGTCCAAAGGGGACTTCGTAGAATTAAAGTCAGGGGACTTCGTTCTTAAAAATCCTAGGAACCGACTCATGCCGGGCCCTGTACTTGTCCTCTGTTTCAAATTGGATAGACACAAGTGTAAACTTGTTGATTACACGATCAAGCTTGTTTTGACAGTGTGCGCAAGGCACTTTTGCGTCTGTTAGGCTGGGTTCATACTGATCCCAAAGTTTTGGAACAGTTCCAGCACAGTTCTCGCACTGTGCTGGAACTGTGCCGTGACTGTGCTACATACGCTGCAGCCACCCGCATGCGGTTTTGAGCGGAAACTTATGTAAAGTTACGAAAATATGTGCTCCAAACGACTCAGATCGTACGGTGGACGTCTGGAAACGGACTAACTTTGGAAAAGGTAATAATTCACATAAACTTTCAGAACCTTTTACATAATTTTTCCGTAAATAATATTCGGTACTTTTGCGCTATTCCGGCAATTTTTTTGAAAAGCTCTCAGAAAATACGTTCTTCAGTCTAAGAACGTTTTTTTTTCAATGGAATCTACGACGACTGATTTGCCTCGTTTCAATAAAAAATTGGCTCGTTTAGGTCCACTTTGACATGTCTATTTTTTCGAAATAATTTCCGGTGAGGTAAGACAGGACTTGATCACCTGAAAGCTGTTTATTTGTTTTTCATAAGCAACAATCTATCTTATATATAAAGCTGAATGTCTGTTTGTCTGTCTGTCTGTATGTCTGTATGTCTGTCTGTCTGCCCGGCGGGTGTCATAGGCTACTTTTCGTCATCGATCGATATCGATTTTATCGATTTTTTGCAAAATTCGAGCTACGGGGCTGGGAGTTGGCACAGGGGGGTAATCGAGCATGCTGATTACGAATGCAACATTAGTTTTTAAAATCGTGCATTACTTTTATCGATTTTATCGATTTTTTGCAAAGTTTGAGCTACGGGGCTGGGATTTGGCACAGGGGGGTAATCGAGCATGCTGATCACCCCCGTGGGGGTGATCAGCATGCTCGATTACACCCCTCTGCCAAATTCCAGCCCCCTAGCTCAAATTTTGCAAAAAAGCGATAAAATCGACATCAATCGATAACGAAAAGTGGACTGTGACACCCGCCGGGGCCCGAAGTGTATGTGTGCCAAGTTTGGTTCGGATCGGTTAAGAAATGGAATTTTCTATTCGGAAC